TTATGTATGCTTCTGATCAAATATCAGGCAGTCAGTCATTCTTCTTCTTCAAGTCCAAACATGAATGAACTATGTGACAGAAACACAGAAACTATCTCAACTAAATAACTTTAGTTTGTCTTGGGATTTGCTTGATCCAAACCTTAAAATTGCCTACATTTTCTCACAGAGATAAAAATAGATATCAAACAATTAATTTTCATTTGTGTATTGACTATAAATTTAAAAATCAAATTGCAAGAAATACCAACTTTTCAATTAAATTATATCATTGCTACAAAAAGAATTCTTTGGAAACTGTCTCTTAACACACATTTTATTCAAGTTTAAAAATAGACATTACTTTAAAATTTTGCTATTTTGCAACTACTATACTATAATTTGTCAACTTTTTTAAAAAAGTGTTTTATGATATAAATTGTATTTTAATCAGGAGTATAGTATCAGTAAATAGATTACAGCAATATAAGTGTTTTATTTTGAAATTTAATTGAGATTCCATGTTGATTTGAAGCTAATAAACTAAACGTAGTAAGCCTAATTTAAAATCCTTTGAATATTTTAAAGTTCATAGTACATTCTTAGTTTTTTTTAAAACTTTAGCTCTGGCTGATTTTAACGCATTTATAAATTTTCAGATACTATGGATTATTACTGAGTCTCGAAGGGTATTCCCACAAACACAGCAAACGAAAGTGTTGTATTTACACTTGTATAGATAAATTTTCATTGATTTTGAAGATTAGATTGTCTTACTTAGCTCTCATTATTATCCACAATATAACAGAACTCAGAACTCAAAAGATTTAGGTAGTCACATAATTGTAATCTGGACACTACAAAAATTAACAATACATTGGCTCTGTTGTTAAGGCTTCAATAAATTTAAACTCAACTAATCACTAGGTACTAAACATATTTCAAAAAACTAAAAATTTCAGAATATCTCTTTTTTAGCTTATAGTGTTTCCGATTAATTAAAACGTTTTCCCATTTAAAAATGTTATACACTCACAAAAAAATGTTTCGTAGATTGAAATTTAAGAGTTGTAAATCAAGATTTAAATTATAGGTGCTGGGGGGAATCCCAAAACATCTAAAAAACAAATTGCACTACAAAACTCTTTGTTTAAAATCTGTTTAGCATTTATGGTTATAGGTCTATATCTACTTACTAATAACTAACTATAATACCTAAATACAATAATTTTTTAAAGTCTGTAAGTATTATCATTACTGTTTTCTCTTTTTATTGAAAATATTTATCACCAAAATAAATCTGCTTTCAAATAGTAAGTCCAATACACTGATTATACTACTCTATAACATTGTAAGAGCATCATTTTGTCATTTCTGTGATACAATGATACCTGATACTGCACATTATTGAAAAGCTGTGAATAATCTTGATGGTCTGATACTGTCTTTTATGTCCTTAGTCCTTCTCCTTTGTCCTACATAAAAGCATAGAATATTCCCCAATATAGCTATCATCTCCACCTAGACCAAAAGATGCCTATTTTATATTTGAAAATATACCATTCCTGATGTGGGATATAATAAGAAAAAATGATAATATGGTTTATGGAATTTTCCATCCATCAAAATGCTACTTCATCATTGCTCCCCTCTGCCTGGGTATGCATTGACAATTTTGTTCTGGTTCTAGATTGGCACTGCTGTGACTCCAAGAACCACATCATTCTAGGGCTAACAGCGGACTTGGGAGCAGTGATCCTGGCTCCAGGACATAATTATTTATTTAAAAATGTACCTCATCATAATTATCTGTCCAATATATATATTTTTATATTTATATTAGAGGTTGCCACGATCCTCAGTGGATCTTTAACCTTGACTACCACCATTCCCTGCAGTTCTATTCAAGCAACAATATCAGAACACAACTCACAAAGAACAAAATCAGCAAATTCAAGCCCCTCACCTGACACTTACTAGTAAAACATCAACCAAGTTTATGTTTTTTACACCTATCACAGTAGAAATTTTAGTAGTCATAGACATTATATAAATTCCAAATGGGAAATCTGAAATCTTCCATCTACAAACCATAAAGTATGCTCATAAAAATCTGAGTAGTTAGACAGACTTAACTAAGATAAAAATAGTTGACAAAGGCAATTTTCATAAGTTTTGTCCCTTCTTCTCCATTGTACCCTAAGTATTACTGTGAAATGAATAGTCTAAGCTGTGTCCACATGCTTTTCTCAAATAGAAATTCTATCACCTTTGTAAAGAAAACCAAATTTTAGAAAAGCGATGCATGCCCTACTAGTATTTGGACATGGGTTGAAAAACAATTCAATTATTATAAGTACTTAAAATCACTTGGATCTTACATGAAAAACACACACAATCAACTCTGTACTTCTTTAATCTTGTCTATGGATACTGACAGGGCAAAAGTGATAACCAGCAAGCGGTGATGTAATTTAAAATTCTGTTTTCTGAGGGAAAAAAAAACTGCCTTACAACAATTACAATGAACTACAGTAATTTCAATTTAATAAAGTTTTGTGTTTTGTTTTCCTCTTCCTTATCTAAAAAGGTCCAGTCTGATAAAAACTCTTTTTTTTTCTTTTCAAATTTAAATAAGAACCAGCTCAGTCAGACTGACACCTAATGGAAACTTTTATAAGAAAATAACTCTGCAAAGGAAAGAAAGCAATGAGATAAATATTTCAACCACTTGAACCAAGGAAATCAAATCCTTATTGTTGACCATGAGATGAGTAGAGGTTTCCTTTAGATTTCAGCGCTAGCATTTACAATCCTACCAGTCCAAAAATGACTCTTCTGCACTTAGGAAGCAACTGCAGTCATAAGCTAAAGTACCAATGGCAAAGACCTGAACGGAATTGCTTGTTTTTCAAAAGTTCTTCCTCATTTTCTCTACAAATGCTGGAGTATTCCATCTTTCGTTTCTGGAAAACCCTATCCCTAGGCCCCCATCTCCCTTTCTGTCTTTCACAGCTTATACACTTATTTAGTCAACCCGCTTGAGGCCAACTTTCAAAAGATCACCCAGTTACTAGATTTTGTAACTTCTCTCTACTTTCCTAATTTCCAATAAAACAATGCCACCAGCAGACATATTGACTTTGGTTAAACACATAACAAGCATATTTAAAGCCCTTAATCATCAACTGGTGGATCCCTAGAGAAAGAGGGTAATTCATGGAACAATGAAAGAAAGAACAGTAGTTACATATTATTTTGCTAGTGATAGAACGTCGAGTGCAAAGATAGCATCTGTTTTATTTTCTACTTGGAGCTCATTCTTAAAATGGATTTGCCCTAGGAGCTTCTAAGAAGCGCCCCCACTCATTTTCCTTGCAAACAATATCCCCTGAGCGCAAAAGCCTTGAGTGTAGATACCCTGAGAGTAATTGTGGGATCAGCCACGGTGTGGTAGAAATAGGGACAGGGTGAGGAGTAATGTGGTGTACTCCTCACTAGGAATCCAAGGTAGTGGAAGAGGGCAAGACCCTAGACGGGAAAGCTTGAGACTGTGCTTGTTTCCTTCGGAGGCACCTGGCTCTCAGCGTCTCCAGGGATCAGAGCTCTTGTGAGCCAGAATCCAGTGGGGTACAGGCACTTCGCGCCAGGGAAAGGCCCGTCCTCCAAAGGGAAGAGGTGCCTGGGGCTCAGCTCAGAACTGGTCTGGGAACGCCGCGAGGGAGAAAGGGAGAATGTCAAAGTCTGTCTGTCTGTCTGTCTGTCTGTCTGTCTGTCTCTCTCTCTCTCTCTCTCTCTCTCTCTCTCTCTCTCTCTCCTCTCTCTCTCTCTCTCTCTCTCTCTCTCTCTCTCTCTCTTCTGTAGCTTCTGACTTGTCAGGAATTCAGTCTTCACAGCCCGTGCACAACCAACCGCCACCACGCGGAGAGAAAACGTGGTCTCAGTGTCCTAGGAGGTTCTTGCCAAGCCTAGTGAAACCTTCTGGGCTCCTGGTACCTTCGTGGCCCCAGCGTTGAAGCATCACCACCGGGAATAGGGAAAGGAGAGTAGCCGAACTGCGGGGCCCGCCCCCCGCAAGAGCTGAAGCAGGAGCCTTCTGGGCTCGCTCCTTCCACGGTGGACCACCTTTTTCCATCTCCATCTTGGGCATCTCAACTCCTGCCACGTCCGGTCGTCTCCAGCGATGCCGCGATGCCTGGGGTGTGCTCTTCGCCAAGAGGGGACGAATCCGTGTGGTTTTATCGTCCATTCGTATTTGAAAGAAACAAAAGCTGTAAGCAGAAGGAGGGGAAGACTCGCTCTTCCTCCCGTCCCTTCGCCGCAGACCTGAGAGGGGGAACGTGCCTTGGGTGTGTTGGTGTTTGAGACGCGTCCCAAAGGCGGAGTCAGGGAAGACGACGCCGAAGATGTGTCCCAAAGAAGCTGGACGACTGAACAGGCACTGCCTGCCCCCGCCACTTTCAGGAAGGTTCCAGTTCTGGGTCACACCGCAACCAATCCGGTTCCCATCTAGTTTCTCCACCCCTTCGCGGAGGATCCGAAAAGAAACTATGGGTTCCCGGGAGACCCGCCACACTTTTCCATCCGGAGGTTCCGCGGGGGGACCCAGGCTCCTGCCCCCCTCTCCCTCCCCCGCCTGGGCCACCACGTCCGGCTGCGGACTGCCACGGCCGGGGGTGGGGCTCCAGCACCGCCCCTGGCCCGCGATTCGCGAAGTCACGCGCTTCCGCAGCTTGCAGGGGCACCTTCGCCCACGGACACGCCCTTTCTGCGGACGCAGCCCCCGGCGACCCTCTGCTGAGCTCCAGCGGACGCTGCCCAACTGCTCAAGGCCTTTCAATCATTCCCAACTTTAGAGACTCGCCCTGTCCGCGTACCTGCCCCTGGCCGCGCCCCACCGGGGAGACCAGCTTGTCAGGCAGGTGACGCCGAAACTCCCAGCAGGTTCCGCGGAACTGACCCGAGCCTCTCCCCGCCCCTCCCCTCCGCCCCGACCCCCGCCCCCGCTGCGCGCGCCCATTCTACAGCCCCGGTCACCGGAGGTGCGGCGCACAGAGCCTTTCTTGTGGGATGTGACTTGTAATCGCTTAACACACGACCAAGCGCGACAACACCGAGGAAAGGAAAAGATAAAAAAAAAAAAGTGCTACCTTGACAACCACAGGCGTTCAGAGGCCAGCTGGTGGGCTGGGGGGGGGCGGCCGCTGCCTGCCTGCCGCTGGTACTCTCCTCGACTACGCGTATTCTTAAGCAATAACAACGTAATCCGTATTATCCACCCAAGAATACCCGTCACCGAAGAGAGTCAGAGGATCAAGCTGCTGCTGCCGCTGCTACCGCTGCTACTGCCGCCGCTGCCACCAGAACTCTTGCTGCTGAGCCCGCCCCTGGCTGGGGCTGGGCCGAGCTTGACCAGGACCATAAATCCATAACTCGATCTCCCTAAAGAAGGATCCAAAGCTGTGCTCGGCTGCTTCCTGCCCAAGTCCAAACGGCTGCTCTGTTTCCAATTCTGAAAGACAAATCACAAAACCAAGCACTTAACATAGAAGAGTGCTGTCTTCCCAGTGAGGAAGGGAGATGTGGGAAGGCTCTTTGGGCATAGGGTGGGTGTGACAAGGAACGTTTAGTTTTACCTGGTGCTCTCCCAGTGCCTTCCCCTGTCCTTGCTCTGCTTGGTGCCCCCTCTGGTCTCGGCCAGACCACTCTAGGTGCTTTGATTGAGCGTCATGGCAGCGAGAGAGCCCTGTAAGAGACATGCATAGTTAAGCATACACATATTACAAATGTATTTGCCTAGACGGCTTTAAGAAGAAGTGAGGCTCAAATAAAGATAGGGTCATGCATGGGTGAAATTTTCAGCACTGTGTTTTGGAAATGCATTTTCTCAAGCCCAAGATCACAGAAAATAAACACTAGTTCAATTTACTACTTGAAATCAAATACTTATAGATCTACAAAAATAGGCATCTCTCCTTTGAAGGCCTTAGAGCTATACAACATAGTGATTTTTAATGGGAAAAAAAGCTTCAAAGCACAAAATAATTAAACTCATTTTCTATAGTATCAAAACTCACTGAGTTTGACAAGCTGGTAGAGTTTTCATGATTTAAGCACCGTTTTGTAGGACCACAATGTGTAATTCCATAGCCCACATTTTTAATATACAGTATAAATGCATTGCTGTGCAGTTGTTGTGAACACCTCTACAAAAAAAACCTAACAACTTTGAAGCTGCGTAATATTTTATTCATAATAAAATATATTGTAAGAAAAAAACAAAAACTCATTTGCAAAGTGACTGTAATTTTTGCTTTCATAGAGAGAACCTCTGTGATTCTTTGATGATCAATATGGCTCTTACTGGAAAAGCTTTGTCTTAAGACCCTGCAGTGAATATTCTGATAATAAGAGTTTATTGTTCACTAAATAAACTGGACAAGTACAACGTCACTACCCAAGATATGTTGTAGCTCCATTAGAAAGTTCTCAATTTGCTTTTTCTTGTACTCTCAAATACATGGAAGTACATCCATGTGAATGGGATACAGAGGGGATATGGAAACATGGCAATAGACATTCTGTTCCTCAAATTATGTAAGTGCAAATAGCTCTTCATCAAGGAGTAATTATATAACAGAATCTCTCCCACTACCACTACTCATCTCTAACTGACCTGGTTGCAATTTAAGGCACTTAGGTTGTGCTTGTTCTTCTTATTTTTTAATATATCACTTCTCCAGACACACCAACTCATCATTTCCCTGACGTGTTACTTACAAATAGACAAATCAACATGAATTCTAGTTTTTATGAGCAGTTGTTTAACATATAATGTCTGATGCTTAAAATAACTCAAAAGGAAAGCAGCATTACCCAATTAACAGTCTATTTTACAGTTTTTTCAGATGACTCTTAAGTATACTTTTCACAAAAAAGACCTATGCCAATTAAACAAATTAATAAGTACTATTTTCTGCCATTACCTAACATAGCTATAAAGTGGAGCTTTGGAGCTTTTCTCTGGGGATGCTACAACCAAACACACACACACA